TGTCGCGCATTTTTATTATTATTATTATTATTATTATTATTATTATTATTGTTTATTAATAATAATAATAATAAATTATATTATTATTACTATTATATTTTTAAACAGATTAATCATTCAACCTTTTAAGTATTTATAGTTAAAATATTAGGAACAGATTCTGGAGCTCAAGAAAACGCGCAAATGTTACTTCTCCTCCTCAAGTCACAGTTTTTACTGTTCTTTTACTAAATAAATCAAATCAGAGCCGTTCTTGGGAATTCTTTCTAATGTTCAGCTTACGGCACGTCCCTCTTTTCGACACTTAGGCCTTTCTCCATATCACTCCTAACAAATTTAGATTACCATGGATATGCTGTGTTCTACACGCCGACCAATGCTGTTTTTTAAATTTCTTGTTCGACGATACAATCTTTCAAGAGATTTAACTAAATAATCAGTGACATCGTTAGATAGCCCATCCATAAGATGTTAGTTGTTGGCAACTCTAAATTGCATGTAAGTTAAAATAAATTTGTTTAAGATTGGAAAGCGGAAACCAGCCAACGCGTCTGTAAGAAGCGTTGCCATCTCTTTCAGGCAATAATGCTTGCAAGGCCTCTGACGAAGTCTCAGGAGTCGCTGTCTCAATCAATCACAAAGTTTTCTCGCTGTCTGGTGCTCATCAACTGACGGTCTCAATGGCACAATGTGATTCTTGAGAAGACCGTAGACAGGTCTTCGATGTTACCATTGGAGGCTCATTGGCCTCCTCGATGCGAATGCACAAAATCGATGCTCATCCCACAATTCCTACCCTCTCCCTCTCTGCCCTACCCTGAAGCCTTTCCCAATATTCTAATTTCAGCAAACCGAAGCGTTAATATATATAACATCCAGAGTTCAAAAAAGTAATATTAATACTTTGTGCATGAGATCATCTTGCAGATGACTTGCATTTCATGGTACTTGAAGCTTTGAAATAAATATAACTTCATCTCCATGTCACCTTCAATTTCTAATACAACGAAAAATTTCGAAAATTAACAATTAAACATACGGTTGACATCCGGAATAATCTGACAGTGAATAATTGCATTTACATTGCACATTCTCTTTTATACTTTTCCTTGTACTTACAGTACTCGATTACACTTGTATTCGATATATCCGCGCATTCTTAATATTACCGGACACCTCTTTGTCCTTACAAGTTACGACGTCATCAAAACCAATGAGTGGAAGAGAGGATCGCGTGAGAATTATGCCCTCCTCGTAAAATATTTACACCGCCACCCTCGCGAAACTGTAAGATGAATAATTTAACATTGCGGCCCATCAAAGCAACTGAGTGGGAAGAACGAGATTTAGAATAAACTAGCGGCTTGCAGTGGCAAAAGTGCTGCAGTTCAGTGATTGGAAAATGAGATCCTGGAGCAGCAAAAATTGAAGGTTCTGAAATGTCACACGTGAAAACTGAAGCAGCTTTCCACTTCGCATCACGTCAGCTCTGTCGTAACCAGTGACGCATTGAGTACGGGAATACACATATCAGATATAAGAAAATAATCAACGTAATCATATATTTGCATTGTACAGTAAAAGTCGAAACTGTTTCATTGTTTATTTGCTTTTATTTGTCCTGAATTCCTAGTTACCCAACGAAGCCATAAACTCCTCAAAAGGTCGGAAGCTGAGTAGTTTTCTTTCAATTTCTGTGCCCATTGGAAATTAGTAATATAGATTTCTCCTCTAAGGAATCACTTTACTTTATTCACCTCAAAATTAATGGACGAACATTCGATACAGAGTGCCCACCTGAATACTTTTCATCTTATATAAATCCAACTGAAGGTATACCACTTCATGTGCAAAAATTTTTCTATTGTAGTTTGAATTACCTCAAATATAGGATTTATCTACTCCGTTCTAGTTGCGGACAAAATTTTTGTACCACTTTCTGTTCTAAAAACTCCACCGCTCTGTATTCTTTCCTCCTCGAAATTTCATTTAGGTTAGGCTGTGACCCCTCTATCTTTCTTCTCGGGCTCCACGTCTCCTAGAGGAAGTCACGCCTTTGACATAACAAGAATGGCCGGCCGGCGGCGCAACTGCTGAAACAACAAAGGTAAACGTCAACGCGATGAGAGAACCACGAAAAAAGACGACAAAAATGAGGGTTATGAAGATGAAATGGGCGACAGTGTAAACAAAAGCTACGTCGACAACGGCGACTCGAAAATTACTTTAAGCAATGGCGATGCTGACAGATATAATGCACAAACTCACGAAATGGAACACAAAACAGAATACGGATCAGGATGTTATTTAATTTATGTAATGTGTTCATTGGCGTGATGATTGCCCAACTATTTGGCCATGTCGATATTAGTAAACTTCCCTCAACCGGGAAACTACTTAAGCACAAATACCAAACAACTTGCTGTATGCTTATAATATAAATGGCGTTATATTAAAATTGAAACTTGGACAATTGGACGGAGTGCCAGGAGCCCATGTCATTGCGCAGAGTGTCTCAGGGTAAATGTCAAAAACGTCTAAGACGAGTAAGATGATCGAGGACGCTCGATGAAGATTATCGAACGCGCATTTGTCACGTGAGGGTAAGGGTGAGTGCGACGTGGGGGAGTGAGTGCGCAGGGAACGGTGAGAGGACCGACGCGTACGGCGACGCGTACGGCGACGGTGATCTTGGCCTCCGTCGGTATTTTAAGCGCCGCCTCGCCTCTCCCCTCGTATTTTTAGGCTGGACAGGGCGGGCGGGGGCTATCACATGCCGCCGTCTGCACCGACGCGCGGCGCGGCGCTTGTCCGCGGGTGCTGCTGGCTGCGCCGACGGGGCAGCGAGGCCCGCGACGAAAGGCGTCCTCGAGCGGTGCACGAAGTCGGCTGCAGGAGCTGCAGCTAACACATGTCGCGACGGCTGTAGGATAGGGCGAGGGCATGGGCGAACAATTTACGATGTGGCGAACGGGAATAGAACCAGACTCTCTACGGAGGCATGTGGAGAGCATAACTCCCACCAATATCGCCCAACGTGCTGTTTACGAACTATTAATATCTTCAGTCAGAAGTGAATTTTACGCATCTCCTTTCTTCGGAATGAATTCCATTTATTTATTACTTAGCCTTAGTTCTGTTTATATCACACTTTATTTGTATATAAGATATATTGTAAGGCGTATTTTAATAGGTTGTTGGTATTAATTTTTGTGAATGGTATAGAATCGAAGAATAAGTACTTACTCTTCGGTTCTTTATATACCTAATTACATATTAAAGATAAACTTAAATTGTATAAGAAAATCAATGTAACTGAAGGTAATATTCACAGATTTGCTTCTCATTCGTCTACAGTGTGAAAAGACGAAATATTTCGTGTGGCTTAATTTATTTACGTTTTAATAAATGTATTAATGATTTATTCTTAATTGTATTAATCGGTTCGAAGTTCACTTAATCGTCTGATTGTTTAGCTGAAAGCAAGATTGATGTATTTATCTCCCTCCTGGTCGCAATTCATGATTTGTCGTTAGGTGTGAACCAAAAGTAGATAAGGACTACGCCGGTGCAAATTACTTGTAGAATGTTTGTTTTTACGCTCCAGCGAATTCTTTGCTACATTAAATATTTTCGCTTCATAACTTTTGTACCTCATCAATCATTGCTTTCCACTGTAGGCTTCGACAATCAAATGATTTTCTTGGCCTTATCGCTAAGAGTTTTGCAAACTGACACTTCAGCGCTCTTATTTAACAAAGAGAATAAAAGAAATGTCAGATTCCACATTCCTACTTCCATTACATTTGAGAGACTTGCAGATAGAAGGGCTATTTGCACCATGGCAGACAGTATTTGGAGGATATTATAACATTCGGGTATTTGTACACAGAACTGTGTTTTGATACTCTTCTTCAGAGGCTACATTGTGTTTAGAAAGGTTGAAGGGTGGATACACAATTTTTTAACAAGCGAATCTCTCGTTTGGATCTTTCCAAATCGATATGAATTTGATGTAAACTTGTTTTGAGAACATTTCACATTTCAAACGTAACTTCTCAGATAAATTAAATTTGTCCAAGTGATTTGTAAATCACAGGTTTATGTCGTTTTTTTAGTTTACGTGATCATCTTCTTGTGGAGCCTAGCCTATCTTCTCCCGCAAAGTAGTTACGTGAAAACTCCACACAGAGAAGTTATCCGGGGGAAGTTCTCTTTGCAATTGGTAGATGTTTAATTGAAAATATAATGTTATGTTTTCGAAGCAAGTTCTCAAAGAAAGTAAATGATAAAAGCGCGCCCATGAAATCCACAATTTACAGTAATCAAACATAACTAGGTACTGAACACTGTTCAGAAACAATTCAGGTTTTCAAGGTTTCGAGGAAGGGCGCATGTTGTTTGAGAAGGCCATTCACTACTGCCCCGTTTCCCAAGGTAGGTATTGCACGCAGTGCGAAACTTCATGAGCGCTTGTTTACGTGTTTTTTTTCGTTGTAACACGCGGATTATCTGCGCGGGAACAGTTTGCGTACGCCCCGGTGTCTGAAAGAAAAGTTCACTGTCTAGTTCATACGTTTCTGGCTTATATTGCAAGACAAGTTTTAGCAAATTCAACTAAAAATCTCTTCGTAATTTGCCCAAGGTAATCTGTGATACTCATTGCTTTCTTCTCCGGTTAATTCACATTTTGAAAATGAAAAAAACAACAACAGTTTTTTAATGTTAGCAGTTATCCAATCGTAACATTTGGTTAGATGTAGATAAAACCAGACCAGTCACTGTTTACAGTGCGTGCATTTTCGACCACAACAGACGCTAATAGGTCTGACGTAAATTGGACTCAAGTTCCTGGCGATCAATGGGCAAACTTCCGAGTACCCCGCCCATGGTCGTCGCGGGCACCCCAGAGTATCTGTGGCAAAACAGCGCGCTTGGCCGTCGCCAGTGAGTGCGCATTTGCGAGCGAGCGTGTGCGCGGCAGGTGCTTCATAACTCACCCTCGAGATCCGCAGCGGCTGGCCGACGTCGGCGCCGCCGTGCATGCGGAAGCCCCAGGGCGAGCCCCCGTCCAGGATCACCTCCCTCGTGGACATAGCTGCGGCGTGGTGCTCCTCTCGGCTGAGCTCAGGCCGCGCGCGGCATGTCCCGCGCCGTCCCCCGACGCACTCGGCGACGCGGATCAGCTGATCGCTGCGCGTACGCACCGCCCGGGGCGCGGCTCTGTGACGTCGCCGGTTCGCACCTCCGCACGGGCGCCGGCGCCGCACCGCGCAGTCGCCCGCTAACACACGCTAACCACCAACACGCCGCCGCGCCTCGCCTCGCCTCTTCCCAAACGCCGATTGGAAGGATGAGTAACGACGGATGCACTGTCACCAAAACAACCGCTCTTTAAAACGTGGATTTAACCGAACTTGTCTTATACCAAATACAACAAATTATGAAGTTTTGTCCAACTTCACACTCTAATACATCGGCACTTATGATCGTTGCAGGTTATGTTTTATTTATTAATGATTGCCTCGAGCAAACGGTACACGTCAGATAGAAATCTACAACGGACTAATGCACGTAACAATCCCTGTAATCCGGTTTGATCGGCGCCTCACGCACTGCGGCGGCAGTCCACTCGCTCGCACGGTCTCGCGCCCACGCATACACACGCACTCCGTCGCCACCGCCTGCGCCGCCGCGCAGCCGTCGGCCAGCCCCCAGTCGCTGGCGCCCGCCGCAGGGCCGGTGCGCTGCGCATCTCTCAGCTGTTGCAGCGCAGGGCCCGAGCCAGCGCGCCCCGCGGCAGCCCCCCCTCCCTTCCCCTCCCCCGCCACCACCGACCAGTCGCAGCGCGCCGCCGCCGCCGCCGCGCACCCCCGGCCGCCATGTTGGGCGGTACAGTCGCGCTCAAAGCGTGAGAGGCGCCACTCGCCCGCCCAACTGTCATGCGGCTCCTCCGAACACCCGGCCTTCGGCTTATAAGACAATTCTGTGTACGAAATAGAAGCACTTTTTTCATATTAAATACGTGTTTCTTACAGAATACACCCACCTACTCTCGAGATATGAAACGTTTTTAATCCATTCTCTTGAAAATGATTTTACATTTCCGATTGATTCCTGTTACTTGCACATTCATCCCACAAAATATAAACTATACAAAGTATTGTTTCATCAAAATCATATCGAATGTATTGGTTTCGAGAAATGTTATAATTTTCGGGAAAATCAAAAGTAATTCTAATATATTTTTTCAATAAAGATTTATTGTGTTTTAGAGCTATTGCGAACTGCATTGAAAATTCTCCTCTAGCGATTTCAGAAAAACTCCGCCCATGCCTGGAATGCTTCTGAGCAGCTACTCCGCTGCCCATGCGCACTACGGAAGGCGAGTGTGGATCAATAGACTCCATACAACAAACCTCTCTTACGTGGCTCTCGAGCGGAATACACAAACGGCATGTTCTCGTGGAATACAAATCTCCAATTCATGATTGCAAATTACAGTAACTAAGGCATTTCTCTCTGCAGAATAAATAACGAGTTTAAAGAGGTTATAATAATAATAATAATAATAATAATAATAATAATAATAATAATAATAATAATAATAAATTTATGAATCAACAAATTAAATTAATCATCGTGTTTAATTATATGTCGCTTTTCATTTCAGTAAGAATTCGAAAGTAATAGACATGCCAACTTTAAAGTTGCGATGTATAATTATCAAAAGTCAATTAATTGAAAAACTTGTTCACAAGTTCTAAAAGTGTTTCTTCGAGTACATTTTTTTATAATATTTTACTTTTAATAATTTTCAAATCGAATATAAATGAAATACGTCCAATCAAATTAATATGTACACTAATGAAATGTTTTAAAAAATGGCATTTATTTATCATTGATTTTCCTGGAATACCATTATTACCTGTTAACAAAACATATTATAAAGTAGAGTATTTCACATTTAATTTTGTATAGAATAATATTCCTCCAAAACGAAGGAACGACATGGATTATACGGGAAATAAAAATTCAGTTTTCAACTTTGCCTCGCGAAAAACAAAAGCAGTAAGATCATGGATTATCGCATCTGCGGCCAAAGAACTTCCATTTCGCTAGCCAAGATGGCAGCTTGACAGGGTGATGTCGGCGTGATTAGTTTCAAAAAATGAGCCATATTTTACAATCAGATGTTGTGCGTTATGCTTGCACATGTGGTTCATTAAAACCACTTTCAAGGATATACTTTTGTAGACATTGCTTGAAAATAAGGTGTGGCTATTGCGTTAGTCATGAGGTAAGTTGCTGACTGTCATATCGAATAATAAAAAAAGTATAATTTTATTAATTATCATTTTCATAATGTAGGTCGATTCTCACTATTGTGCTAATTGCTTGGAAAACCTGCCGTCAGCTGAGGCCAGGTTGAAAAAACAGAGATGTGCAAGTTGTTTTGATTGCCCCAGCTGCCTCCATACTCTTTCTACCAAAGCTAGCACAGTAGTAGTGCCCAGTTCTGATGAAAAGACTGTAACTAGGAAATTGTATTATTTAGCATGTGGATTTTGTCGCTGGACATCAAGGGATATTGGATATCCAGACCAAACTGTTGGTAAAGTAGCGTTTTACCAGTCTCAACAATTTGAAATATTTTAACGCAAATGAAATATTTATTAAAGGTATGCAGGGAAAAAAAATGAGAATAGTGTATGTTCTATTTCAGCTAGTGGAGGATGGCCAGAAAAGGAAAATCCCCATGCTTCTCGAATTTATAACTTACTTGAACATTTTAAAACTTTAGCTCTGAGGGAGAAGCAAGAGAGAGAAAAGAAAAAGAAATTCATACCTCGCAGAAATATCTATCACTTATCAGGACTTAGTGCTGCAATGGCTAGAAAACGAGCTGGACTTCCATCTATCGGCCCATCATCACTGAAAGATGATGTGGGCGGACCTGCTGAACTTATACCTTCCATTGCCACTGAAGAAGTAGAACAATTACCTGAAGAGATCTTTACTGACACACTTAATCTGCTGAAAGGTAAAGCATAATGGTTACCATTGCAGCATAATAAAAGAACGTTCACATGTTAGTGAGTAATTTTGAATTGTAGTTACTACATTAAAGCAGCGTTTGGCTCAGCCAGAGTTCCAGCCCCAAACTGTGGATGAATTGTATCCTGCTCATAAATGTCTTCTGATTAAAAGATCCCAACGATGTCGCTCTTGTGAACATAATGTTAGTAAACCAGAATATAACCCTGGGTCCATAAAATTCAAAATACAATTATCAGCCCAGTAAGTCATTTTTTAAAATATGTTTCTTCAATAACTTTGCTTAGTAGAATAATCACACACTAAGCACTTGCATGTTAGTTATCATGTTCCAGAGATTCGAATTGTTACTTGTGAACCATTGCGTGCTGGAGAGAAAAGTGAAATGATTATAAAGATCTGTAACCCAACCCAGTACCAAAGCTCTTTGCAGTTTTCACCATTACCATCTCCAGAAGAGGAAGCTGAAGAACTTAGTAAAGAGATTGAGGAAAGGAAACAAAAAGTGGACAGGAAAGATGAGGTTTGTCACAAGAATGAAAGTTGTTTGTATTTTTTATTTAATGTGTATTTGAAATACATAATTAATAATTTTTTTTTTAATACACAGAAAACGAATCGTGAAGATGTCTTGTTACTTCTACCATCTATTTGTCGTCAAGTGTCTATAACTGAAGATCCTAGACCTGTAAATGTGGCATTAACTGGAGATATTTCCCTTCCTCCAGTTACTCTAGTTCTTCCTCCTCGTGATGATGCTGCAGAATATGACGACTCTGGAGATACACATAATTTTCAAGATGATCCAAAGTAGGCTATGATTTTGAAATAGAAATATTTTTTTTCCAACATTGAAAAGTCAGATGTACAACTTATTTACTTTTTCAGAATTGTTGTATGGAGAAAAGCAAATAAGGCAGCTATGAAATTAGTCATTACACCTGAAGAAGATATATCTGAAGGAAGAGACGTTATTGTAGGGTTTGTGATGCATTATACTTACATCAACACAATGGCGACGCAGTTATTAGAACAGAGAGAACCACAGAAAGTAAATTTGAAAGTTAAATTATATATTACAGTTGGAAAAGTTGTTGGGAAATAATTTATCTTTGCCTAATCCAGATTACTAAACCATTGTAAAGTTATCATGTAATAACTCTGATTGTTCATTCATACAAGTGTGCTTGCTTATTTACATGCTTGACTACAACACTTATTATTCTTTTATAATAGCTTTCATGTATTTTGTTTTCTCAATTGTAATCTAATTATTTAAATATTTAAAGCTGGCTTGCAGATTTTTTTTGGTTGAATCTTCATTTCTATTTCAGCACAGATGCAGATAATAAATATTTAAAATCATTGTTTTTGTGGGAAATTATTTTAAAAAACTCACCATTGGTTTCCTCGTCCTTTAATTATCAGAACATTATTAGTGCTATTGACACCTAGTAAAGAAACATCACTGTTCTCCCTCCAGTTGTGCGAGAACAGCACCAGCTGATTTTTTAAACACCTGTTACAAAAGTTTGAAATTAGTAATTGTAAATATCAGTTGAATCTGCACACATGCTTCACTAAGTTATACTCAAAAATATTGTTCTATTTATAATTATAATAATAGTAATTGGGCAAGAACATCATAAAAAGCCATGCGGAGTGCTGATGTAGAGTAGTGAAAGCTTGACTTGACTTCAGGGCAAAAATAGGCAATTAGGATTGTTTGGGGAAATGTAAGGAGGAAACAATATCCTTTCTCATGATCTTGGAAAAGGAAAACAAATTTCTTTGCTCAATCAACCATAATTTTTTAATATTCCTGATGGGAAAATTGTGAAGCAGAGGAAAAAAACTATCTAGAAAGAACAAAAATACTTTGTTTTTTTTTTAAACTATTTGCAACAGTTTTAGCATATTATTCACCTATTGCAACAAGTCTACAAACATGTTAGCCTGCAGAAAAATTAATCTTGACATTTCAGTGGAAATGAAATTTTTTTGCGTGTCCCTGATAGATTCCCCCCTACTTACATCACCTTCAAAAACATGTCTTTGAAGAGAACTAGATTCGGTTTCCTGCATTAGCCCCCTGAAAAACACCAAGTCATGATTAAGATTATTTTGATTACAGTGAACCCTTGTATGAATTTTCTCAACCCAAACATCGCTATTTCACAAACAAATTTTGGGTCGGTAAAGAAAGTTGACTACTGAATTTTTTTTACTGTTCAAAATCTACTCCATATTTTTTCCCTTAAATTTCTTGTTTAAATACAGTAGTTAGCATAACCTTTATTTAATCTTTCTTAAAAAGCAAAATATTTAGTTCTTGATGCAAATGATTCTGCATTATGAAAATTTTAATTTAAATCAGATGAAGGATTCTTAAAATGCCAGCCATTGTCAATCAAACTAGTTGGACCTGTGTGAATATTCTGCATATTTTAAATTGTTTAGGAAGTAAAATAGCTTTATACTGGTTCCCAATTGCCAGGCTCTAGCACGTGTGTGGGTAAACAGTCAACTATTGTTCAAAAGTTATCAATACAGACAGACCCATACAATTAAATTATACAGAATATAAAATAGACAACTTAATCATATGTTGTTTTCAAGAAAGATATTTTTCTGACCACCCAGGCTACAAAATGGGGGGCTCAAAAGAGATAAACCTCTAAAAGTATTGAAGGTTCCAAAAAGCTCCGTCGTTTTGTAATTTAAAAAACTCTGGGTCCCAAAAAGGGGCTAAATATGCCATTTTCAGGTTAGACAGGACAATTCATTACTGGCTGCACTTACAACTGCTTATTTTAATTCAATTTCATAAAATATTTAAAGTATATGTTTACCACATACAGGTAAAAAAGGTTTGTGATTCTCAGTGTAATAATACAGAGAAATAATGACAATTTTTTAAAAGTTCCACACTAGATAATCATCACATCTGCTTGAAAGGATAATAGGTATGACAAAATTTCACAAGGTGTACATTTTATAGATGTATTTGTTGCGATTCATTTGTCATATTTGATTGATTTAGTTCAATACTTTACTCTAGAAATAACTGGTTCTTGGTATACCTCCTTAACTACTTACCTCTTTGTTTCATGTTTGTTAAAACTCAAAACGGAAACCCTTTGTATCAAAACTATGCACACTTCCAAATATTTCTAGTAATTAGATTCTTTTCAGAAAAACAACAACAACAACATATGATAAGTTGGCAAAGCTCCAAAGAATTAAATTCAGAAGGAAAAGCAAACATTCAAGTTTTTGAAAGGTTGCCTAAAAGAGAGTGGTTTGATTAAAAAATCAAGATGGCAAGATATTTAATAGTTTATTAATAATATATAGATATATTATATATGACTGGAACACAAATCCTAGTTTTTGAACACATAAAGCAGAGGGCACAACAAAACAAGCATTATACAATTCTTGCATTCATCTTTATTTTTGTTTGTTTTCCCCTTTCTTTCAACATCTAGAAATTGAAAAAATATACTACATTCTACAGTGAAAAAAATGGACAAAAAATATCCTGGATAGTATATAATAAAACTTATATATATTTATATTTATGTATTACCTCACTTTATTCGATGTGATGCTAGGCAACATGAGAGAGGGGGAGAAAACAAGGCAACAAAGAGGAGAAATCTTAAGTGGAGAATGGTTGTATGTATGAAATGTTATCTCATTTATAGACAATGGAATACCTTAGCAAATTTCCTTTCAGGAAACTCCAAACTTGTCAGAGAAAAGCATTACAAAGACATCAATATTGATTTTTTTTTTTTGTTGCAGTTTATGACAGAGGATTTCTGTAAAATACTGACCAGTGCATTGTTAAATCCTGCACCACAATCAATTAAATACGAAAACCTGACATAATCATTGGTGCTACTGTAGCATTAAACCTTAACATTAGCTAGTACCTGAGTGAGAAACTGTTAATAGAAACAGTCTGTTGTTTGAATTTCACTACTATTCTACATTCCAATTTCGCCAGTCAGTGCAAGAAAATACTATATTATTTATAGGTCACACACAATACTCACAGTGAATGCTTCTAAGTGGACTTGTCTCTCATGCAAGCTAAAATATTATGATTGAGTTCCTTTAAAACTTGAAGTTGCATTCTAAAACAGCAAAGTTTATTCCATTGCCTTTTACCTCATGCAGAAACACTCACACATTCCATTATCTACTTATTATTTCATACAGTTTAAAATACAGCTTCAAATTATTGGCACGGCCACATCCAGAAATACTTCCAATGGATTTATATGAGCAACAATCAACACGGCATAATGCATATCCGTGCTATTACAATGTAATTGAGCACATTCAGCTGAGCTATGATACTTCCTTAAAATAAAAATGCATGCCCTAAATACCCCATCATACTTCCAGAGTTTGTTCTGAACTTACAAAATTTTATTCTTAATAACTTCATCTCAATAAAAACAAAAAAGTATGTTTAAAAATAAGAAGTTCCAATTTCAGAAATTTAGTTTAAATTGAAATTCCAAATGTATCCACCCTATAATCTCTGGGAAGCAGGATGAGACTCTTGTCACATTGTATCTACTCCCCATATGTTGTCAGCTACACACCTACTTTATGTCTTCAATATGATGACATGATATAGTGTCACGTTACATATCATGTTAACAGTGGGACTATGTTTATGATACAAATACATTTCACACAAATATTTATAGCATTGATTTACAATACCAATATAATTATCAAGCAAGAATACAAAATATAACTTTGTGTTCCACATATATTTAAATTAAACAGTCCTGGTCACAAAATCTGAATACTTCTATGATGTAAAATAACATGCTTGATACAGAACTTTCAACATATATTATACAATTTTCAACCCTATTAGTTCTATTAGAATACATGTAAAGTCCAAAACAAGATTACAAAGCATATCCAGAGGCCAATATAGAGTATTAATTAAAAAAAATATTATGTACACATGCTTAGCAATCTGTGACAAAAAAGGTACACATTCAAGTTTGTCAGGATTACGATTTCAGATCAAAAAACATACACTGGTACAACTGATCTTTTCACAAATAGGTAAGAGCAGCAATTGATATTCAATTCTATTCGGGCAATTACACTTTTGAATGGCATTACTTTAACGAGATTTAAAATACTGGTAAGAAAATATGATTTATTTATATTCTTGACGCTGTACTTATAAAAAAACATTCCTGTTTATAATTTTCAATATACACAAAATATTATTAATTCAGATCTTCATTACTAGGCAAGTTTCATTTTCATAAATGCTAATCTATAGCACTACATAAATTATATGACTAAAACACTGTTGGAGAAGTCTTTTGCACCAACAATAAACAACAAATTAGGGAAGTGAATTTTACTATGGCCAAAACCAAACAAACTTTTCATACAAAGATGAAAATCAAGGCCATATCAACAAGACAACTTGCATGTCCTCGCAAATAGTATAGCTACTTCGAATTCTCACAGGATTATTTATGAATTTACTGAAATCTCATCTTGCACAATGATTTGTGTGAATTTTATTCTCAACAATATAATACAGTTATTTTAATATTGGTCTTAAAACTATTTATAGATCACACAGAACAATACAAAAATTCATATCATCAAAGTAATTGTTGTATAAACATAATCCCACATTGCTACACTAGCAACCTTACATTCTTGAAGTAAAGGTTTTACTAACACCTAAACATTGTAACTAGTCTATACGGATAACTGCAAAAAACACTATGAAGTAGCTACAACAAGTTTAAAAATACCTGAATTTTTCTGTCACAAGAGCGGGGAAAAGGTGGGGAAAATACTCATTTTAAAAATGATCAATCAACAATCGTTCTTTAAACATTCATACAAATCTCTTGCACAGTCATCCAACTTTCAAAACTCTTTCACACTGATTTAAATAATATATGATTCAATTTTCCCTTACTGAATACAATAAAAGGAGTACTCAATTAATTTATAACATACTTCCCTCTTTCAACAAGAAATATACGTATGTATCCAGCTTCGAAAGGAAGATAGGTGGTAGAATTAAATTCTAAGAATAATGGCATTTATATTTTCCTTATAACTGAAGAATGTGATGTGAGGCACTGTTCACACACACACAAACACTCAAGAGCATATTAAGTCTTTTAAAACCAGTACTCTAAATACATCAATTTCTAAACGCACCTATTCTAAAATTTCGTAAAATCTATTAGCTGAAATCTTATAATGGACAAAAGTCCACAAAAGTTGAGAATATTTTCTATGAAGTATTTTTATGTAATAGTTTCTTGTCAGAGCACATTACTCTTATTTAAGTATAAAAAAATGCAGGTGCAATGGTATCTAATAATTAAAAATAATAACATAAGCTACATATTAAATCTGTGCTTAAGTTTCTTTCTTAAGAAGATTCTTTCAAGTTCACAAAAAAATTGAACTTGATTCAGAAGGCATTTAAGAAGAAAGAAAAAAAGAAAAAAGAAAAAAACAGAAAGTACAACAAAAAATTAAGTCAATTTTGTAATGTTGCATCCAGATGTGAACGTTCCTCCTATTATTAGTATAAATTTTGAAATCCTACAGATTATAATTTCACTTAATTCTAGTATTTGAGAATATCTATTAGCAACAAAATGCACTTATTATATTTAAACTCTTTATTAAAAATTTACAGTCACAATGGAAAAAATGGCACAGTTTGGAGAATTACATGTCCGTTTACATTCAAAATAATGGCAAACAAGTATTGGGCAGATAGAGATACAGTAACACAAAGAATTACAAATTCTGTCCTCATTTTGCATATTTAAAAAATGTCATTACCACAAAAGTAATAATAATAATCATAATTATTATCATTATTATTTCAATCTACTATTTATCATGATAAAAAAATAAATGAATGCATGAACATAAAATCAGTCAACTGAAATTTAAGTAACACCTACTGCAATCCTCACCATCATGTTAAATACACTTCTTTCCCATGGTTTAAATACTGAAGTTTTTGGTCTCTTGATCAACAGAGATAAATAAAAATCTAATTTTGTTTATTTAATGGAATACATCACTCTCAAGAATTTAGTCTATCATAACGAGTTCTTAAGGAAAAATGAAAAACTATATCACACTTGGTCACATTCAATGTCTTAAACAATTTGTAGAAATTCAGAAATTGCAGTGAGAATTAAATTTTGTATGTTTTCAATTTATAATTTTAAAATTTAGGGAACATTGGAAATGGAGCATTTAACAGTTTTTGGGTTGTTTTGTTACAAGAAATATCTAAAAGTGAATATAGAAAAGTGTACTTTAATATTCCAATGGTATATTTTTTTTCCACAGAGAAAGCTGAGAAATGTTTTAAGGATGCATGAAATAAAAGTTTCACAAACCAGTGCACCTGCCACAAATGTATTGTGAAAAAATATATGTATATATTATATTTCCTTCTGCAATTTTGTTAGTGCTTTACATCGAAATTACTTTCCTGCTTACCTGTACTAGCTTACTTATAGCCATGAGAAGACAATTTTAAGTTCAGTCCATTACATTTTCACTGAAAAACTAACGCTCATGCCATAAACATGGTCACTATTTATGTTCAAATTACACAATATCTGATTGCCACTACTAAAGAGTACTATTGTATCTATTTATTTTTGAAGTGATTTAAAAGTTGAAAAATAGGCTTCATTCATTCATTCAAATACTATATATATATTCTCCAAAATGATACTGCAGTACCTTTTTGAATCCCACACTTTATCAATGAATGGAATAAGTGTCAAAAATCTTTTAAAAAATGCATCCAGCACAGACATATTTAAAGGAAAGGACATTCAACTAACCATTAATGAGTGTCCAAGTGTAGACAATAACATTCAAGTTTTCATACCTACTCTAAATTTTCCAAAACAATATACTGATCTACATTATAAGAAGGACCTCAGTTACACAAATAAGCATCACTTTCCTTTCTTAAAGAAAGAAATATTTAATAAATAGAGATTCTTTAAAGACTGAATTGCTGAACATGGTTTCTCATAAAAAATGAGAATGGAAAAAGAATTATATGAACTTCATGTAGCAAGTGTGAAACAAAATAAAAACAACAATAAGATCCGATTTAAGAAATGACAAAATAACAAGGTTACCAGGCTACTGTTAATGACACAGTCTTTCTATTAAATAAAAATTTGGAAATAGATTTACAGAATAAAAAACAAACTGTCACCAAAAATAAAAAACACAAAACTACATCAGTTCGTCGATTCTTCAATCCATGTGTACTCAAGACAAAAAACTTTCCATGTTTGCTCAACATTTCAACATTGAATCACTAATTTAAAATGAAAAAAGTATCTTAGAATAAATATAACAAACAAAACAAAAAAATCTACTTTCTCTGCAATATTGACCAAAAAAAAAAAAAAAATTTCTGAATCACAAAGCCTTAACCAAAATACTGAAATATGAAGGTATGGAATAATAAAATCAACTCCCATAATTACTGTAACAATATTTCTCAGACATCCAGAATATGAAATCTGGCCACAGTATAATAATATCAAATTATTGAAATTCAAATTTCCTAGTCAATACATTCTACTCTAAATGAATAATACACAGTAATTCTCTCACAATAATGAACATTGCAATGATCATTTTTGAAAAATCAATTAAACACCATGTATTTGAAACATCTTTAATGAGAAAAGAGAACATATTCATGACAAAATATTATTTTTAATCCAATAAAACATATTTATCAAAACAATTCAAAAGAAATAAATTATATTTATAATAATGGCAAAAGATAATATTTTCATTCGCATTTAAATAAGTATTATGCAAGAGTAATACTTGCACGGAGAACATACACAAAATAAATGAAACTCAAATTAGATTTTATTGAAAATGAAACCCCTAATACTTTTTTTGTATAATAGAAAGTCAAGATGTAGGAACAGTACATTTTTTTAAAAATCAGTCACTTGGATGAAAAATTAAATTATTTTTAATTTGTAAAAAAATATTGCAACTATACCAATTTTTTCTGCTCATCTTCTTTATCAAATCATGAAAATATAATAATTTTTTTTATTATTACAGAACTCATTTAAAAAAATGGTACAGAAAGCCAGTCACCCTTTCATTCACATTCATAAATACTCGTATTAACACTCGCACCTGTTGCTATGCGCTAGGAGTGGTATCGAGCATGGTGATAAAACTACAGCTTGAAATGCAGTAATACCAATCCATTACATCCCAACACATCCACTTGGAATTTGTGATATGTTCTGTGCTAGTGGTACAATTACCATTGAAGTTTTGTCTTTGCCTAAAATCCTCAAGATGAATTGGATAAATTGATTGATAATACACATTTAAACTTTAATTACATTGTCTTGAAGTTGTTAATAAATTATTAATAAATACCTTTACATTAACTATTGCATTGTACAGAAAACTGTTTGAATGACTAGCTTTCATGAAGACTGAACCACAAGAAATAAGAACAAGTACTGGTGTAAATGTTTTCCCAAGGCCTGCATGGTACGGACACACAAACCCGAGAACTTGCAATTTAAATCTCAACCAATTAAAAAAGTTCACTAGTAAGCAAAATTTTCACCAATGAAAACTTACAAAAAGAGAATGGTTCAATTGTTGAGGAATTTTTATGAATCACTTCTGAATGCGTTGCATGGATATACACACACTAAAACCCACATCTAGAAACTTATAAAATAATTATAGCAAAGAAAAAACATTTGACCCTCATACTATATTACAACTTTTTTAAAAAATAAAAAGGAAGAGAAAAAACAACAAAAAACACATGACAAAATATCAAAAGTATTTTTCATAAAACAATAAAAGAAATGTGTTTATTCCACTGAGTTTTCCTCAGAGAGGTAAGTATGAAATACGGTTTCTAATTTTGTTTGCTACTTAGTCCATAATAAATGTTGCAAAGGAATTACAGTCCAGTATCCAGTCAGTTGGGGATGAAGAGAGAAATGTTCTCCTCTCTACTTCTGAACAGAAGTAGATACAATAATGAAAACACACATAGAGCATATAAACATTAATGCTCCTATTCTGAAAGGCACATAATATTGGAAGTCTTATTCTGATCACCCCCAACCTATAGATTCAAACAACACTTAATGAGGCAACACAATTTCCAATGCAATATTTACGCCACAGAGACATTTTTCTTTTCAAAACATAGCACATTACTTTGGAAGTGAAGGTGAATTACTATGGATGTGGGTGTTATGGGCACACAATCACACAATGCTTTCCTTAGTGAAATTTTGAATGACAAACCCCCAAAATTTTAAAAATCAAGTAGTTTTCCCAACAACTGAACCAGTTGTTTCAGAATCTGCAACTCATGGCACCTTTACAACTTCACTATTTTTTTAACACAATGTAATCTCATAAAACAAGAAAAGTAGAAAGGTACAATTAAAAACATTAGCTTGTGTCAGCAGAAGGAAAACGTTCGTGAAAATCTTAGGGAAAACATTGTATTTTCTCACTTCTCAAAACAAATGTATCAAGTTCAACTTCAGTTGTCTGTAAATAGGAAATTTAATATAATTATGTGTAAAAAATTTTTTTCTTTATATAGTGACCTCTATAAAGAAAGGATTCTTCTACTTTCACTACAATGTTTGTCAATTTAGTCATCAACAGGAAATTAAAATACAGAAAAGGCAAAAACATAATAAAGGGTATGAGAACCTCACAAAAGTATTCACTGAAAAAAAATTGTATGAGTTGTAGAAAACTACCTTTATCAAGAATTAAGAAGTACCTATCATATCTTCAAAAAACGAGGTAGCAGGTATTTTTAATGTGAACAAAAATAATACTTTCAAAATTCAGTGCTAAGGAAAGTATTATCTGCTGTTGAAAATTAACAATATGATTTTAAAAATTTACAATTGTAAACAAATGATTAAGAAACTTCTACAGCAGATTTTCCTCATTAACAAAATATTTTTATCACAAATTTGAGAGTCAACAAAAGTACAAGACCTCATATGTTTAAAAAATGCAACTTAATGATGTCATACATATTACATTTTGAAATCATTCGCTCATCACATTCACTCAAAAACCACTACACTAATGTCCACACACTACTATCTAAAGTAAGGAAAAAATACAATGAGATATCTTTTGATGAAAGTGTGTCATACACACAAGAAAATGGAATAAAATCATTCATTACATGTGCATGGAATATTATTCCTTCCTCTTTGCTAGAATGATTTTATGAATTAAATATGAAGATGATGAAATATTTATGGACCTTTAAAATATCGAGTACATGAGAATGTTCAAAGCATGGCTGCTTGTGTTTTGGAATGGAAGATCACACCCATTCTTTCTGCAAGATACTGTGCACAAATATAATCCTCAAATTTTCCAATAACATCACACTACAATATAAATAAAGGTAAACAAAATGGAAGAGTTCCAACATAAGTTCTTATTAACAACATACAATTTTCTAGCTGAGACTGTATCGAGGTATAATACCTACTGGTTCAGTTATTGGGAGAGGCAGTCACCTGTTACTACATCCTTCCCCCCAAGATGCTCTATCCAGAGTTGATCTTGCTTCTACAGGGTACCGGTTATCCCACACTACTCCATTATGTAGCAACAGCCTGTTGTTTCCTTCTTCTGAATTTACAGCAACAACAGGATTACAGGTGTTACTGCTTTCTACAAATCTGTTGGATGTTTCCAGCAAGGGCACTGCTCCGACAGATGGTCCCACGGGCGCCCCACAGCTCCCAGCACTACCACTACTAGAATGATGAGCACCTAAATCTGGCCTTTGTCATTTGCTGTTAGCAGCAAGGGCAGCATTTATTTGGCTCCAGAGATCTTTCTTGCAAGATTTTGATCTATGGAAAACAAAAAAAATTGAACATAAAAGAAAACGTGAACATTCACTTCGAAGAAATAGTAAGTATAGCATGTACTGCACATGAATGCCTTCTAACGAAAGTTTTTAAGGTCTCGTATCACAGATAAAACAACTACTTTTTACTTTCTTGTATACATATGTATTTACAAAATAATATAATTCTGTGGATTATCAATTTCGAGATTTCAATTGATACACATGTTTTGGGGGTCCCTTATTCCCAAAAATTGGTGGTGGTGGTGGTGTGTGTGTGTGTGTGTGTGTGTGTGTGTGTGTGTGTGTGTGTGTGTGTGTGTGTGTGTGTTTATTTTTTTAATTAATGTGTCTGTTGGTCTAAGAATCTATGAAGAACACTAGCACATAACCATTTTATAAGATATTTTCCAAAATTTATATTCCTTGATCCATTTGATCCATTTTGCTTGTTTCAAAATTCTGCAAGTTCGAAAATAATTCTTTAAATATTGGGGGTACTTATTCTGAAATTCCTGGGGTCTTTCAAAATTTTCTCAAAAATGGCTCAAACTTTTTTCTTTAAATTTCTTGTAAGAATACAGTGAAATCTCATAAACATGACATAGGTCCATTTTTCACTAACACCCAATTCTAAATGTTCATAAATTGTAATATTTGCAGGTTTTTTTTTTTTGTTGTCATTTTCCAACAATTTCAATATGAAACACATATTTTTAATTACACTAACGTAATTTTTTTCAAAATATCTCTCACATTATTAATATTAAAATTACCAGCTATTTGTATACATTATTGCATGTATAAGTACATGTACTTTATATGAGAGCTTAGAAAGTATCTTGGAATTCCAAGTTTTCTGAGAAAATGAGCTCTGAATTCTGCATTTTCAGAAACACTCAAAGAACTTTCGCTCAAAAACGGCCCAAATTTTTCATCTTTACTCTTTGTATGGATAGTGCTAAATACACTGAATAACAAGAAATAAATTCCACTCTGATTCTACCACTTGCCTCAAAACCCTCTCAAGGCCCTCATCACCTTCATTGTTTGGGACAACCTTACATGCATCAGTGTGGCAACGCTTCCACAATTGCCCTCTAGTTCAACCTTGCTCCAGCTCCTTGCTCCTCCTTTTTGTCCCCTTGGGGGAAAAGGGTCATGAAAGAAATGCAGTTTCTTTGGACAACATTGAAATAAGTTCGATGAGGGCTGTAAAGAACGTATTTGCCAAGGACTTCCTGGGAGAGGAAAGTAAATCTTACTGAAAAAAAAGTAACATTGCACAAGGGTCATATTTTGGAGCATTTTAAGTTGCTGTATCTTCCCGATTCATAAATTTGTTTTTAAAAATGTAATGCATTACTTTTGGGACATACCTTGTATTCTAATAAAACTATTTTCAGTATATCAACATTCATTATAAAAAAAATTCGATATATTGTAAAGAATTGTCTTTTTAGTGTTTTTAATATGCCCTCTGAAAGATGAGAATCTTTTGCTGCCAACAGCTACTTGTTTTGTTAATAAAATAAAAAGTTAAAAGTCCAAATAAGAAAAATATAACTTCTGTCTTTATATTACATTGCAAAAAGAAATACAATTGGGAGAAGTAAGCAAAATGAGAAAGACCAGAACAATTTTCTAAAGCAATATTGATTTCCTTTCATTCCATTTACCAAATAAAGAAAATGTATTTGGATGCATGTGACATACATACCGGCGTATAGACTGCAACCATTCTTTAAATTGAGTGTTTCCTTCAGGAGTTATCTGAAAAGCAGCTCTTGCCATGCACACAATACCAACAAAATCTTCGTAATCTGCAGGAGTTAAATGATACAACTTTTGATGCATACACTGGATGTACCTGATGACACAAAGAAAAAATATTAAGACCTGATTCTTTAAAAAATGAAGGCAAATTACTGAATGAAAACGTTTTCTTACATTTGTTGACATTTCTGAACTAAAGGAGTAAGAGCTGAACGAAGATGCTGCATAACAAGACCTGGATTGTTGCGAGATAAGTAATGAGCAGCATCCAGAGCTACATCATGAAGCACAAATGGACTAACAATGCTGTTCACAACACACACACAGAATTGATGTAAGTACTGAGTACCTGTAAAAATAATTTATGAATTAGACAATATTTTTTATTTTTTTTTTTAAATTTAGAAAGAAAAAAAAAAAAAATTTAACACTGACTCAAATATTAATCAAGACAAGTACCTAGCTTTTTGGCAACTCTTAACAGCCACTTAACATCTTCACCATAAGGTGGATTGCGAGCATACTTGGCTTGAGGACGATCATCATGCACTCTCCGAGCTAAAGTCTCCAGAGCCAACATGCCCACGCGATACGCTGCCAGCAGGTAGCGGAGCTGAGCCTGGGAATACTGCTGGCGGTGCAATTGCTGTAACCCGATCAATATCCACATTGAAGTTGAGAGAACTTGAAAAATGAACTAAATTTTTGAATCATTGTAGCATTTAGGTTGAGGATTATCACAATATATTCTTGTTGCTATTGAACATCTAGGAAAGAGCAATAACTTTCAAACAGTTACAAAACTGTGGTATAAAGAGGTAGTGAAGATTCAAGGAAATGATTACTAGTAGTAAAAATGTAGAATTATTTAGTGAGAAAATGGTTTAACAATATGGAGGTCCAGTCACATTTTTGAAATTAATTATTTATTAATAATTAAATTTGTGAAATATGAGAAGACACAAATTAGCACACATCATAAGTACAAACTGCCGACTTCAATTTTACTGATTTAACATAAAATACAGAACTCTAGTTGTCTGCCCTTAAATTTCAATACTCGTATCAATGAGGCACATGTGAATGCATTTGCCATGAATCTATGAGAAGACCCTTGTGAGAATCATAGCAGTTAGTTACTAACTAACACATTTGTATAATGTTTAGTGATTGTAAACCTGAGTTAATGAAAGTGTTGAATAACCTAAGGGGCTGTTCATAAATTACATAATGCAAATTTGGAGTATGTTCAATACCCCCTCCCCCCCTGTAACATACATTTGAACCCCCTTCTAATAATTACATAACACTTGCGACAAACCCTCCCACCTCCAATAAGTAAAACTCAATTATATAGTCGAAACGAGTTATATTAATTGTATTTGTGTTATATATTAAAAATTATTATAATTAACATGACAATTAGTTAATGGTGCAGACGGTGCACAACATTAAGTTTGGGGAGAATTTTTCAATGAAAGATGGACGTATAGGTGAGAAAATTTCTGACAAGTTATGCACATGCCATCGTGAATGACTCATATGCTCCAAGTCTACTGCGCCAACAATCACAGATGAAAAATATTTTCATTTATTTTAACAATTTATAGAATATAACTTCTTTCATTTATTATATTTTAAATTTAATTTTTTAATATGGTAATGTTTTAGTTCAGGACTGAATAAAATGAATAATGTCAGTAAATGTAAAAAGATTTTAAAAATAAATATCAGCATCACCTAATACTAAACTATGACCCACCCTACTCCTATGTAATGCAGTGTAATGCTACCTCAAATCCCCTTCCCACCCTCTTCAGCGCAATGTAATTTATGGACGACCCCTAAGTTAAAAATAAACCTAAGCTAATAAAACTGATGTTCCATGCTAAAATAAAATAAGCTGTTCACCGAATTTATTTCTCCTCTTATAAAATTATTAGAGACTTCTCTCCCAACAGCATGAACATTACTTGCCCGGAAAGTGACATTCATACACTTTCTGTTCTTCAGTATTTGGGTGTTCTCAAATTACTTTTTATGACCCAGAATGATTAACATTAATCAGTATCTACCTGTTGCTGAGGTCGTCCAGCAGCAGCTGGCAAGGCTGCTGCCACCTGTTGTGCCTGCACAATGTTAGCAGGTGGCAGCCCTTGCTGCTGCTGCGGTGCAGGACCCATAACAGCAATTTGTCCTTGGGCCATCGCAGATGATGTAACCTTAAGCAAAATTATATAATTGTACTTGAATGAAATTCCTTCATTTTGCATGTATCATTCAGATTTTCCCCTCCTTCACTCCATGTACATTCAAATTTTTGGTATGCTACAGTAATGAATGTGATATATTTGGGATTGGAGGGTATGAATGACCCCAAAATATTTAAAATATTTTAAAATCAATAATTCAGGGCTTAAATTTTACAAATTGAATTTACCACTAGATACAATTTTTCAAAGATTTGTATGGAATTTGCAAGGAGCACACATTTTGAGTTTATAATGTTTTCTTGAAAGTCAGAAAATGATAGAAAATATTTCTTGATACACAAGTGAAACTTATCAAGCTTAAGAACTGTCTTGAGATAATCAATAGATTACAAGAGGACACAATATAAAGTAGACAAATTTAAGAGAATCTTCAATGTACTATATGATGTCCAACAAGATAATGAATTAGATGTAAACAAATCAGATGTTTCCTCCACTGAAATGCATGGTCCGGGGCCGCTGAACTGTCATCTTACCAGCTGTAAACACTCCTCTGCCATCGCTGGCTATTAGCAATCTCGGTATGCACACGTTACAAATCCACAAGTGGCATAACATTCTTCCAACTATTGGGTTGCACAGGATGCTCAAGAGAAACGGATGACGTACTTGTTAATTTGGGACAGCGTTTTTGAGGATAACAGTGCATTCACTAGGCATATTGTTTCTTAAGTTATTTTAAAAACTGCTGGTAAGATAACACGAAATGTTTACACATCACAAAAACATGAGCAGGTTGTACAAGACTCAGTGGTTTTTATAATATGTAAATCGAAAACTGGTGCAGCACTGCAGTAATTCATCATTTATTAACAGTGAAATTTATTCGTTACTTACATGAAAAGAAAAGAAAAATCATTCATTATGAATCTGACAATGGCTCTGTCATGTATCAATTGCAAGTTCGACAATTTTCTTGTGAAATGATCTGAATTCGTTTAAAATAGCAGTTGTT